TAAGTATAAATATCACACCCACCTATTGTTCGGGGGAGATTGAGGCTGATGTTTTGCAGAGCCCATCTTCACCACATATATGTGTTTTAATAAAATCATTTGTGTTGACCCACTATGGACTTTCAGTCGTATGTCTCTTCTCAAATTCGAACCACAACAGAAGGCAACGCAGTGAGAGTTACAGCAGAGACGATCAGAGGTGATAACAGGAGGAAGAAGAGCTGCAGTCGGTCTGCAGTCTGCTGGAAACAGCCATCACTGTTTCCTGTAACCAATAATGTGATCAGATTTCCCTGTGGTGGTGGATTTGTTAGTAAGAACTTATTAAACTGAATCAAACATTAACCAAACAAGGAGGATGCTCACATGAGGAAAAATTTCTGTGAAACTTCATGTCTGTCAGAATTTAATTATACATTTAAAATTCAATTCGATTCAGTTCAATTTTATTTATACAGCACAAAATCACAACAACAGTGGCTTGAAGGTGCTGATCTTACACAGCACATTCTTACATTAAGACATGTGATGGACACAGAGGACTAATTACCAAGTATCAAACTCTTATCACGGCATATCGCAGCTGTAGAGAAAGAAAAAAAATTTGTATGTGAAGTTTACATGTGAACGAAGAGCATGTATTCATTTGACATCTTTCAGTGTCTTTGAATTGAATTATAATGAATATAAATGTAGAAGAAGCATTATCAGAGGATCACACATCTGTTTCCGTATGTCTCTTGTAAATTATTTGTTTCTTGCTCCTGTTTTTTCTTCAGCTCCTCCATTTCTTTCAGCTGCTTTTCTTTTTGTCTGAGTTTTTCTTTTAGCCTCACTTCTTTGGACTTTGTGAGATCGTCTAACTGTTTGTACCTTTTTTGATTTTCTTCCTCTCTCTCCTGCATTTCTCTCTCATGCTGCTTCTTCATTGCCTCCTTCTCCTCCTTATGTTCTTCCATCAGGCCTGCAAAGTTCATACTGTATTTCATTCTGAATTCATTGCTTTCTTCAGCTTGCTTTCTTGCATCATCTTCATATCTTTTCTTCATGTCAAGGATTTTCTGCTCGTATTTTTCCTTCAACTCTTTTCTTTCCTTGTCTTCTTCCTCTTTTTTGCTTTGATCTTCTTTTTTCATTTCATTTTCATACTTTTCTTTCTCCTGCTCAAAATCCATTTGGAGCTTTTTGAGTTTTGCTTCATCTTGCTTTTGTTTGAGTACTTTTGATTTTTTACGTTTTACCCAAAATTCTTTTTGTTCCCGTTTCTTCTCCTGATGTTCCTCTGCCATCTTGTTCTTACGCTGCTCTAGTTTGATTCTCTTTTCCTCATCTGATGTAGAATTAATGCTTTCTTGCAAAGCATTAAGCTCTTTTCCCCACTCCTGCTCCTGTAGTTCTTCCTGTTTCTTCTTGTTTGCATCTTCTTCTTCCCTCTTTTCTTGTTCTTTCATCTTCCTCTCACGCTCGTTGTTAAGTTTTTCCCTCATTTGTTTAATCTGTTTTACACTTTGTTCTCTCTCTGGCTCTTTTTCTTTCCTCTGTTCTTTCATTTTTCTTTCCATCTCTTTTAATTCTTCCTCATGTTGTCTTGCAAGTTCTGCAGATTCTCTTTGCATCTCTTCTTCCTTGGTTTTCAGGATCCTTTCCACTTCTTTCTGTATCGCTGCCTCAGCCTCTCGGAGCATCTCGTTGGTGTAGCACTCACCACCATTTTTCTCCAGCATTTCCTGAATCTTTGTTATCAGTTCACTGACCTGTTTGTGGTTTTGTTCGGCATAGTTATTAAACACATGATATCTTCCTCCACAGTCAGACACCACCTTCTCTAAAGAATCATCTTGTCCCATTTTAATGAATTCCTCCGCAGACTTTGAATCGTGCTCTAGTGTATCTCCTTTTGTGAAAAGCACAATGGTGAAGTTTTGAGAATTTATCCCAAAGAATTTCTTGATGAGTTTCAGTGTCTCCTTCTCCTCTTCTGTGAATCTGCCAACCTGCATCACCAAAAGGAAGACATGTGGTCCTGGAGCCAGAAGACTGACACATTTCACCATCTCCTCATGAACTTCTTCATGTGACAGAGTTGTGTCAAACAGACCAGGAGTGTCGACCACAATGACAGGATGACCGTCCACCTCACCCTGTGCTTTCTGACATATTTTAGTGACTGATGTTTGTAAAATTTCAGCTTTGAATTCTTTCCTTCCTAGAATGGTGTTTCCTGAAGAACTCTTTCCACAGCCAGTCTTTCCTATCAGCACAATCCTGAGAGGCTCTGGGCTCTGCTTATCATTATCTGCAAAGGAAGAGGCGTGGAGTTAAATGAAATGCTGAAAGCTTGTAAAGTACAGCTGCAAGGCCACTAAATAAAATAGTTTAAGACACAGAGCTTTATATCTTTAAAAACACTTACTCCTGTACATGTTCCTTGACTCCATTTCCTTAAGTTTTGCCTTTAGTTTCTTTATATTTTTCGTGTGAGCACATGCATATGTTTTTGTTGTATAGCTGTGTGGGTTATTATTAGATTGTCTAATTCTTTCTAAAGTCTCCAACAGCTGTGGGATCTGCGGTTTGTCCTCGATGTTGGAAACAACGAATCTTCCTCCAAATCTCTCACAGAGCTCTTGGATGTCTTCATTATCCTTTAGAAAGTTACCAACAACTGGATCTGTAGGATCTGAGTCCACAGTGAACAGAATCATGGTGAAGTCATTAGCTCGAGAGCTGAATGCGTCCTGGATGGTCTCTAACTCTCCCTTGTCTTCATCAGTGAGGGGAGCCACAGGTAGGACCAGGATGAAGGCATGGACACCCTCAGGATCACAGAGGGAGATACACTTGAGTGATTCCTCCATCACTGCCTCCTGAGGTTTTCCATACAAGGCAGGCAGCTCCACCAGGGAAACCCAATGTCCACACACCTTTCCCTGATATTTAACATACTCTGATGAGTTGGAGACTGAATGAAGCTCTGTCTGACCTAAAATGGCCTTGGCTGCTGACGTCTTCTCTGCTCCTCTCCTCCCACACAGAACCAGGTTTAAAGGTCTTGTATTCTCTTTAGTTTGATGCACAATGTTCTTAACCTGCTTCATTAGTGATCTTTGGCTTTTTTCACTCATTCTGTACTGTCTTCCTTCACAATCCTTCAGCAGCTGCTTTACAGACTGACTTTCAATGGACTCATTAGTCATGATGACCATTGAGTGCTTTAAAGCATCTTTACCAAACAATCTCAGGATGAAGTTTAGTCTTTTTCTCTTATCTTCTGTGAATGTCGAAGGTTTAACTAACAGCAGAAGAACATTTGGTCCAGGTTTACAAAAACTCACACATCTGCTAATTTCTTCTTTTATAATTTCCTCAGAGACACTGAAAATGTTTGGAGTTTTAACTACTGTTAAACTATACGCTCTCCACTCTCCATAGGTAACTGGACGATTCTCCACTGAAGGATGTTTTTCAAAATGCTTCCCTGTATTACCAATAATTAAGTTTCCTAGTTTAGTCTTTTTGTCCTCACTTTTTCCAACCAGCACAATTCTGAATGCAGAATCTGAAACAAAGCAATAAGAGAAAGGAAATAAAAATAAGTTTTAAAAAAAGAAATAACAAACACAACAAAAACCTATGTGGTCTCAGGCACATTTAGTACAACCAATCGTCAAGTGACAATTGTCAAAACTTTGAACAATGAAAACGTTACTGGTCTTTTTTGGAGTAGTTAAATTAAAATCTTTTTCACAGTTTGTGTGAAACAGGAGGACTCTAAATGAATATCAATGGCACTGAAAGTAGCTGTAGATAATATTACATCTGTGGGATTATTATTGGTAATTTTTCCTCTAATGGTTAAAATTTTATTTGTGAAGAAGTTCATGAAGTCATTACTAGTTAACGTTAAAGGGATACATAACGCATACCAGACAGGAGACTATCAAATTAAAACAGGAAGTACAGGGAACACACACTGAGCTGCAGACTGACAAAACCCAGGGAACAGACAGTACGAAAGAGAGGGAGACATGTGGAGACATGGAATGAAACACGAGTGGAACATGGGAACAGAAAGGGGAGATGAGGCATAATGACAAAACTAGGATCCGGAGAGTGAGGGACACAAGGGGTGAGGACAAAAGAGAACCTAATAGACAACTATAAACTGCAAAGACAAGAAAAACTCAAAACATAGAGGAACTAAACTGTCAACGTTGAACTTAAACCATCCTTATAATACATGAGTCACAAAAAACAAAAAAGCTGGGTCATAAAACCCAGTGCCCCGACAGAGCCTTCAGTTTTCAGGCCCTTCTTCTGTGGAACCAGCTTCCAGTTTGGATTCAGGAGACAGACACTATCTCTACTTTCAAGATTAGGCTTAAAACTTTCCTTTTTGCTAAAGCATATAGTTAGGGCTGGACCAGGTGACCCTGAATCCTCCCTTAGTTATGCTGCAATAGGTGTAGGCTGCTGGGGGATTCCCATGATGCACTGAGTGTTTCTTCTTCAGTCACCTTCCTCACTCACTATGTGTAAATAGACCTCTCTAAATTTAATCATTAGTTATTATTCATCTCTGGTTCTTTTCCATGGCATTTCAGGGGCGATCATGGCTCAAGAGTCGGCAGTTCGTCTTGTAATCGGAAGGTTGGCGGTTTGGAGCTCTCTGTCCTGGTCGTTGTGTCCTTGGGCAAGACACTTTACCCTACCGCCTACTGGTGTTGGCCAGAGGGGCCGATGGCGCGATATGGCAGCCTCGCTTCT